AAAACTCTTTCTCCTATTCCTCTCCTGCTTCCTCCTCCTCCTCCTCCTTGACAGTTAATGAAGTAATAAGAACAGAAATCAAGCTGAAGTTAGTTATAAAATTGATCCTCAACTGTTTCTAGAAATCAGTAATAAGAAGCGCTATTTTATAGTAGCTCTCCTCATGTGGGACAGCTTCTAATGGAGATATAAGAGGTCAAGTTCTAAGGCCTCCGTTGTGGGATGAACTCTCAACTCAGTTCTCTCTCCCTCTCCTATTTAATATCCACATCAATTGGGGGGGGGGGCTCATCCACTGCCATGAGTCAGGTTTCATCAATTATGCTAATGATATACATTTGTACATTGATCCAGGCTGAATGAGTCTGCTAGGTTTTGGATAGGGAGGAATAAACTTAGGCCCAATCACAGCAATTACAAGTGGTTTTGGTTTCATAGACCATCTGAGTCTAGAATATTCCATCTTTGGTTCTGGATGGTGTTATGTCCTCTCATTTGGAACTGTTAATTTGGGGTTTCTTTTGAACTCATGACTCCTGTTTAAATAGCATCTGGCAGCTGTGACCAAGAGGACCTTATAACTTCCTTGTACATGGTGATTCATGTCTGGGTCACATCCCATACATGTTACTACGATGTATCTACTCCGATGCTATAGCTGCTCCATAATGCAGCAGCTTGAGTAGTTATGCACGCTCCGTTTTGCCCATATGATGCTAGGACAAAACTTGTTAAAATTGAACTGCTTGCCGATGGGTCTCCAGGTGTGATTTAAGGTGCTAGTTGTCATCTTTAAAGACTTGTGTAGCTTCAGAACTCCAAGATCTCAGTAGCCTGGGACCACTAGAGTATGATCCCTATTCTAAGAGAATGTTACCATCAGGTGCCCTACAAGTAGACCTTCTTCCCTCATCCCCATCCTGAAAGAATATCTTAAATATTCTTAAAATTACTTCAGTCCTAGCCCTTAGAGTTTAGGAAATTTAGGAGGGCCATTAGGTCCTGGTTGTTCCAGAAAAACTTTGGTGATTATAAGCATTGCTATTATGGTTTGTTTTAACCCTTGTTATAATAGTTGGTTTTCTTAATGCACTGAACCTCAAACTTAACCAACACTTTTAAAATAGGCTTGTCATAGTGGTGGTGGTATAAACCATCTACCTGATTTATACACACAATTGTCTTGGGTAGAATGTGGATGCATTTCTCATGGAAAGTTTTGTGGCATAGGTTGCTCTGTGGGTTTATAAGAGCATAATATCCCAAAAGAAACCTAACATTATTGCTAGTAAGATGCACTCTTGTTTAGATTTCCAATATCACTTGGAAAATGGAAAAATTCTATTTCTCCTATGAATGATAGCTTCTCAATCCACTTGGTCCACTATGACAGGGGTCCCCAACTTTGGCAACTTTAAGACCTGTGGACTTCAATTCCCAGCTGGCTGGGGAATTCTGGGAGTTGAAGTCCACGGGTCTTAAAGTTGCCAAGGTTGGGAACCCCTGCACTATGAGCTTACCTTAGCATAAAGATCAGCAATGCCTGCTCTTTGATACATGTCTGATGCATCTTTTTATCCCAATCATCAGTGGGATAAACAATACATCAGACATGTATCAAAGAGCAGGCATTGCTGATCTTTATGCTAAGGTAAGCTCATAGTAATAATAATAATAANATTCCAGCAACCGTTCCTTATATGTTTTAGCCTCCAGTCCCCTAATCATCTTTGTTGCTCTTCTCTGTACTCTTTCTAGAGTCTCAACATCTTTTTTACATCGTGGTGACCAAAACTGGATGCAGTATTCCAAGTGTGGCCTTACCAAGGCATTGTAAAGTGGTATTAATACTTCACATGATCTTGATTCTATCCCTCTCTTAATGCAGCCTAGCACTGTGTTGGCTTTTTTGGCAGCTGCACCACACTGCTGGCTCATATTTAAATGATTGTCCACTAGGACTCCGAGATCCCTCTCACAGTTACTACTATTGAGCAAGGTACCCCCTATAGCGAACTGAATGGGCTGAAAAGCTACCATTGATTTCACAGAGTTTTAAAATGAGAATCTGTTGCCATCACAAGTGCTCTTCAGAGAACGATTAAAGTCACCCTCTGCTCTCAAAGTATTTTCAATATGGATTGGGTCTTTATATTTTACTGTAAGAAAAAATTGCCATTATACTTTATTCCTTGTGGATTTCCAAAATTATTCTATTATATACAGCAAGTTATGAGTGAAAAATTAATTGAACAAGGTTTGATGAAAATTCCCTTTCAATGTTAAGAAGGGAAATTCCCATAAAATCTGCTTCATATAGAGTGTGCAAACTATTTCCTACAATATCCCTTACATTTTCACATTGCATGGTGACCTCTACAATCTACAGCTTGAAAAGTTTTACAATAGTGCTGTGGAAAGCAGTCTAGGGAATATGCAGATGAAATGAGAAGAGCAATTACCGTGAGTCATAAGAAAAGATGAGTTGCTCAAAAGTTTTCTTGGTAGTCTAAATTCTTTGATCTAGACAAGAATGTGTTAATTGATGCTTTCCTTTAAATACCTTATTAACCAGGAAGCAATTGCTTCCCTTTTTTTATAAAAATATTTGTACTTTTCTTTTTAGCAAGCCAAAAGGGAAGCTTACAGCTCCTTTTGCCAATAAAAAAGTGATAAAAATTAAAAACATCTGGTGCACTGAGAAAAAAAACTTACTTGCTAGTGAATTAATTAATTAACATAAAGTCAATTCAACAGTCAAAACCTACAAGAGAAACAACAAAAAGAAGGGACAGTTGGTCTCTTGAAAGGGAATTTCACATTGCAATGTGCAACTGCAAAAAAAAAACCCCTCTATTTTCTGTATCCCTTCAAGAGAGACCTATCTTTGGATTATCTTTTTGGACTTTCTTTTTACTTCCTCATGTCAATATCAGAGGAGGCGTTCTTGAGGTCTGGGTGGTAAGTCACATAATGCCCTAAAGAAGATAAAGAACATTTTGAATTGGGTTGGAAATTGAAACATCTGTTGTGACGGGGAATTACACTTCCTTTAAAACTAGATCCAGTCAAAACCTACAGACTGCTTTCAGTTTCTGGATCCTTCTCACAGACAGTTCTTACCACAGTGTAATAATTAAATACTATAGAGCAGGGGTCTTCAGACTTGGCCTTTTTATGACTTGTGGACTTGAACTCCCAGAATTCCTCAGCCAGGCACGCTGGCTGAGGAATTCTGGGAGTTGAAGTCCACAAGTCATAAAAGGGCCAAGTTTGAAGACCTCTGCTATAGAGGAAGAAATAGAGGGAAAGAACTCATTTTCATTTTAAGGAATGAAACTAAGTAATCTACTTTGTTTGATAAGACTCCTTATGAAGTGCTTTAAATTTGCCAGTCTGAAATTTGAGGAATTGATTTTGTGGTTCTTTCCCCTTAGGTACTTGTGTAGATGATGAGCAAGACAACAACTTTAAGTGTTTCACTCAAATGCCAGCACTCCAAAGCAATTTCTTAATTTGTGATGCTTCTGGGACAGAGGTGAACCTGAATGAGGCAAATGCCAGTTTCTCTGTGTAAGAACTTTTCTAATGCATTCAAACATCATTACTTGGGTGCTAGAAGATTGATACAATGAAAAAAATGGCTGCAGAATTTGGGGGGTGTGACCTTGGGGGGTGGTCCTGGAGCTTCAGAAATTGGTTGGAGGTTACTTATTTGGCCTGTGGGTTAGTGCTTAATTAATATTAACTTAACCTGTCTTTAGAGTCTAGTGAAACCTATAGATTACTTCTCAGAAAAATGTATTTAAATGCATAAAAGAAAATACATAGATTAAAAAAAGACTTCACTGTGATCAAACAATGAATTCTAGAGCTCTAGAATTATAGGTTTAATGCCTTGAATGCATTTTTAAATGCAAAAGCACTTTTGAAATGCAAGCTGTCTCAACTATGATCAATTATATGTGTTTGGGGGAAGCAATGCACAGAACCAAATGTATTCTGGTTTGGATTTTGCAATATATAAATAATTTTCTTGAATGTTTTTGGAATCTAGAGTTCATAAATTAACCTGTTGCCTGCATTCATTACTGAATGAAAAGCTTAATTTCAGTTAGAGGTTGGTGAAAATAAAGTTGTAATCTTTTTTACATCCAACTTCATGGACCTCCTGAAATCTATCTACAGATTTCCAAGTGGCCTTAGCTTGCAGATGAAGAAATCCTATCTTGGACCATAATCCTCAGATCATACTATATCTATAACCTTCTTAGCCTCGTGATCTTGATCATTTTGAGAAACAAAAGGGGTAGACTTTGAGATACTTTAGCAAAAGATGTTAACATTACTGAGAAAATACAGGAAAGTTTTATGTAGCCAAATGGGGCTGATTATTAAGTTGGCCTTTACTTTTACCTTAATTATCTGATTAAGTGTACAATATTTCCTGGCTCTCCAGGAGTATAAAGTTTTGATAAAGGAAGATGGACTTTGCCATAAAAATGGAGAAACATTAAAAATAAATCAGAAAAGGCTAGTAATGCTAATAAATCTAGCCCAAGAATATGCTTATTGTTCATTTGGGGAGTTGGCATATGTGAACAACATAATTCAAAGCATTTCTCTTTTAACTACAGATATATAACATAACTTCATTTGTAAAACACCTGACAATACTGAAATGTAGAAAGTGAGGATTGATTCAACAGATATAATATTTGGTCACAAGACAATTGGGGCAATTAGAAGGCATTAAAAGAATCTTTTTCTATCAAGAGAACTTAATGTCCAGCTAGTTTGGAATACAGTGAATCAGGAAAAGTGTAGGATAGCTATTGTATATAGTTTCCTAACCATGACACTCTATAGCAGTTTTCAAACTAATTCTAATGAATTCACTAGCTCTCTGAAGATCTATGTTATCCTGCTTTTCAATTCTTGTATGTTTTCAGTTTTCCAAAATGTCATTGGTACACCATATTTTGTCACAGGTATGGGACTCAACCCCGGTCCTGCTTCATGAAAAATCCCCTTGTCAGCAATTGTTCTATATACAGCATCGATCTTATCGGTTTTTTGAAAGTTTGCTTGACAATAACATCGATCAATCCTTGCAAAAATTGCCAGGAATTGAAAGCTGTTCATATCGGTAAGCAAATGTATAGTCCATTTGAGTTCATTTTTGAATCTGTTCAAAATAGGAGTGTCGGGGAATGGGACAACTTGCCACAGACAACTTGCTGCAGCCAACTTGCCATGGCCAACTCATCACAGCCAACTAGCCACGGGACAGCTTGCCAAGGCCCTGTTGAATTGTCCATGGCGAATTGTCATAGACCTGGAGTTACATGGAGTTTAGTTATATCAAGACAGAGTCCAAAAACTCATGGCCAATTATGTTCTTCCATTTCCAAATTTGGAAGAAAAAGATGGGAATTCTCCTACCAGGAGAATGTTATGGTGTTGATCCAAATTATGTTTGCACAAATGGAAGATTGTACATAGTTCAAAGCAACCACAATTGGGACCAGAATTTCCATTGCTAAGCAATGCAGTTGTTAAATTTCACCTAGAATTAAGGAGAAATTTCCTGACAGTGAGAACAATTAACCAGTGGAACCACCTGCCTCCAGAAGCTGTGGATGCTCCAACACTGGAAGTTTTTAAGAAGAGACTGGACAGCCATTTGTCTGAAATGGTATAGGGTTTCCTGCCTGAGCAGGGGGGTTAGACTAGATGACCTCCAAGGTCCCTTCCAGCTCTATTCTATTCATTTAACAACTACATTGCTTAGCAACGGAAATTCTGGTCCCAATTGTGGTTGTAAATCAAGAACTACCTGTACATAAATGTGGATGATTTATTTGGGCAGGGGTAGTTAATATTTTGACCTCTCCTCCTTTACTCAAACGTCGTCACCTCTAGGCTCAGCATCCAACTCAAATGAACAATTATTAAAATAAATTATTTCTACAAGTCATGCTTGAATGAGTCATGCTTGAATTTGCAACCTCTTTTGCCACGGTTGTTAAGCGAATTACTGCAGTCGTTAGGTGACTCATGCGGTCTTTAAGCGAATCTGGCTTTCCGCATTGACTTTGCGGAAAGGCAGCAAATGACAATCACAGGACCCTGGGACAGCGCAAATACCTGCCAGTTGCCAAGTGCCTGAATTTTGATCACATGACTATGAGGACGCTGTGACAGTCATTAGTGTGTGGACCAGTCAGAAGTCACTTTTTTCAGTGTTATGACTTCAGATAGTCACTAAACGAACAGTTTTTAATCAAGGACTACGGGTACTGCATGGACTCATTTGAATTTGGTTTCACAATTTGTTTAAACAGCAGAAATTTAAGAATTGCGGAGGTGGCATGTGATTTTGTGTGTGTTTGTATGTGTGTTTTGTTTATCTTTCTCTTTACCTTGTCCTTTGCAGTTAAACCTGAAGCACCTTTTGGTCTAAATATCACCTACCAGGAAAAAGCAAATGAATATCTTGTTCAATTCTCAACACCACATATAGCAAACACATTCCTTGAAGACAAATTAATACATCAGTTAGCCTACCGTCAAGAAAATACTAACTGGACTGTGAGTAAGAATGAGTAGTTTTGCATTTTCTACTTGCTTTCAGTTGTATGCCTGCAAACAAGGGCTGTTTGGCGTATGATGTCGTGTATGTTGTGGGAGGCTGTGTTAATTTTTTTTTAGCCTGTACCTAAATTTATAAAGTTTAGAGTGAATAAAGTTTAGAGTGAATAAAAAGCCAATAGTTTTTAACTTTTAATGTGGAGTGTATGCTAGACTTTTATTTTCAAAAGCCAATGGAAATCAATATGTCAATGTTACCACTTGCTAATATCAATCTTCAAAGATATTATTCCTTGTTAACATTAGAAATTCCCCTTGCAGCCAAATCCAATTTCACCCCTAGTAGATCATGATGAAAATAATTATGGCTGGGAAAATAATAATGGCTGGGAACATGCAGAGCTTAACAAGAAACATTCTGTTTTCTGATCAAATGTTTTCCCCTCAGAAATGTTTCTGTTAGTCTGTAATGCAAACCAAGCTTGATTACAACAAAGCAGATTTGTAATTCAGCTTACCAACATTGTTCAGGCAATGCGTTTGATTTGACCCAGACTTTCTGATTCAGCATCTGTTTAGCTTAAATTCTGCCTCTAGCAGGATATGGTGTTAGAGTAATACAGATCCAGACTATTTCCGCTAATAGGTTCCCATCTGCTTTTAATTCAAAAGTTTGCATATTATGATTATAGAGTGTGAACATCTTGTATAATCCAGTCCCAGATGTGTATTACAGACATTTATACAGGTAGACCTCTACTTATGACCACAATCGAGCCCAACATTTCTGTTGTTAAGTGAGTTTTGCCCCATTTTATGACTTTTATTGCCATGGTTGTTAAATGAATCACTGCAGTTGTTAGTAATAAGGTTGTTACGTGAATTTGGCTTCCCCGTTGTCTCTGTTTGTTAGAAGGTTGAAAAGGGTAATTGTATGACCCTGGGACACACACACACACATACATATACATATACAGTACACATATACATACACACACACACACACACACTTTTATTGGCTCTTCAGAATTTCAGTTAGATATTCTTCCCATCTCTGTCCAAATTAGCCAGAGACAGGAACATCTTTTAAATGGGGACATGGGTCTGTCAGGGCTGCAACATTTTGCTGGAGAATAGACTATAAACAATGGAATAAAGAAGTCATTTCCAAGCTTCTTCATTTGTGGCAAATGAATGCAGCCAAACATTCTGATTGTGTACCAATCAGATCATTTTCCGTGAACAATTTGGCATATTTTCTTGATACAAAATAATCTGCTCTGTTTCGGATGCCAATGTAGGATGTTGTCATATTCTCATCAGAATTTGAAGAACACTTTGAGGTAAAAAGGATTTCACTATGTAGAAATAGATGAACGTACTGACGTGGATCTTCGAATATCTTTGTTTAACTTTAATTCTCAAATTTATTCCTGTTTTAGACCAAAGAATTTAATTTGCTTATATTAAAACTTCTGGGGAAGGAATTTGAGTCAGAAGTAACGTATGAGATGAAGGTTCGATCAAGGCCCAACGGACATTATTTCAAAGGCCACTGGAGTGAATGGAGCTCATCTCAATATTTCAAAACTTCAGCCAGACGTTCCCAACATCTCAGTACCTCAGACAAACCATCCAGTGGAATAAGTGAGTCCAGATTTTTATTTTATTCTTATTGGAAATCAAGAACATTGGAAATGTTTAAAACCAGGTGCGGTGGTAAACCCGTTGAACCTTGACAAGGAAGGTCCATCTCAGGTTCCTGTTTGTTCATGCAACTCACTGGGTAACTTTGGACCTTGTTTTCACAGGATTGCTCTTAAGAAGAGCGAGGTGTGCTCACTCGGGAGGCTTGTTTTGGCTAGGTTAGGGCTTGAGAAATGGATTTTTTCTGCGAAAACTTAGCCAAAGAGCAAGGCACACGTGCCCACAGAGAGAGCTCTGAGTTCCCCCTCTGGCAAGTGTGCCATAGGTTTGCCACCACTGGCATAAGTGGTCCTCACCAGGAACTTGTCCAGGCATTCTCTGAGAATCAGATGCAATTGAATGGAAGAAAAACAATGCAGGTAGTCCTCAACTCACAACTGTTCACTTAGTGACTGTTCAAAATTACGACGGCACTGAAAAAAGTGACTTATGACCATTGTTCACACTTATGACCATTGCAGCATCCCCATGGTCATGTGATTTACATTTGGATGCTTAAAAACTGACTCACATTTATGACGGTTGCAGAGTCTCAGGATCGTATGATCCCCTTTTGCAACCTTCTGACAAGCAAAGTCAATGGGGAAACCAGATTCACCTAACAACTGTGCTACTAATTTTACAACTGCAGTGATTCACTTAACAAACGTGGCAAGAAAAGTCATAAAATAGGGCAAAATGCACACATTTCTGACTTAGCAATATAAATTTTGGTCGTGAGTTGAAGACTACCTGTACTTGGATTAGGGTCAAAAACTTTATACATCAACAAAGTTTTCTGAATGCAACATGCCATTGTTATAACTACTACCAATACCAGTTAATAATTGACAATAATAGCTGGTATACCATGACCAAACTCCAGACCCTATCAGATATGATGTTAAATTATGAATATTCCTTTCATCATGTAGTTTTGAAAGATGCAAATAGCTGTGGGAAAGAATTTTTGGCAGGAAAACTGTCATGCCTTATTTCCAGATTCCTCTGCCCTATAGCTGTTTTTTAAAAGTATAGTGCCTGGAAGAATGTGTACTGTAATAGAGTAATTGTACTATGTTGAAAATTTAGGATATTTTTTTCAGTACCCATAGAGAAGCAGATGAGGCTGGTCAGAAGCAGGACACTTAGTTCTAGGTCAGGGGTAGGCAACCTTGGCTCTTTTATGACTTGTGGACTTCAACTCCCAGAATTCCTGAGCCAGCATGGCTGGCTCAGGAATTCTGGGAGTTGAAGTCCACAAGTCATAAAAGAGCCAAGGTTGCCTACCTCTGTTCTAGGTGAATTGGAAGAAAAGCAAACAAGAATCAGAGACCAGAGGTCTCACCCACAGAACCATAAGAACTTCATGAGCCCATGAGGTCCAAGAGTCCCTGATAATCAGAATGATTGGAGCTTGGACATCATCAGCTTCTGCTGCCAGAACTTTGGTGGAGGCAAAATCACCAACTTAATTCATTCCATTGCTGAATTACTCAGGCAAGAATTTTCAAACAATGTTTAATTAAAATTTACTGTCTGGTTGCTTAGTCCCATTAAACCTTGTCTTTTCTTCTATAATACTGAAGAACAAAACTTTGTTCCTCTTTTATACAATGTCTTTTAAGAATTTAGAAGACTGGAAGAATTATCTCTGCAGATTTTTTTTCTTTCTAAAGAATATAGTTCCAACCTTTTTTTGTAGGATTTGTTTGATTATGAGTGGGCAATGGTAAATGGTGGACAAACATACGGCTTTGTATTGTTAAGATGAGACCTGGAGTCATAACTGATGTGGTAAACATCTGGTGTGACCATATATCATAAGCTAGATCAGTGGTTCTCAACCTTTTTAATGCCGCGACCCCAACCGGTCGTAAGTCGAGGACTAAACCGGTCGTAAGTCGAGGAGTAAACCGGTCATAAGTCGAGGACTAAACCGGTCGTAAGTCGAGGACTACCCAAACGGTCATAAATCGAGGACTTTCCCTGCCCGGGAGTGCCGCGCATGCGTGGTTCCGCCCCCTGCGCTGGCCGAGGCGTAGCTGGCAAGCGGCAGAGACGGAGCAGGCCAACCACCAGCTGGCACAGCCCAAGGGAGGTAAGACACCCGCCGGAAAAGGGGAAAAAAATGGCGGACAAAAAAAATGGCGGACAAAAAAATGGCGGACAGCCTTGCTTGGCGACCCCCGTGAAATGGTCGATCGACCCCAAATGGGGTCCCGACCCACAGGTTGAGAACCACTGAGCTAGATGGTCAGAAGCTAGGCTAACGGTACAGAATAGAAGATACCCAGGATCAGAGCTCTGTTGAGGCAGGAAACAATTTCTGGAGGTTAGTTAATGGGTGTCTCATATAATGTAAATGTCATGCTTTGATTCCCAGTGAAGAATCTAGTACTATATCTATTTTTAAAACTAAGATTTCTTTCCTCAGACAAAGTTGTCCTGATAACAGTGTCCATTGCAACTTTCTTTGTACTTTTGGTTGTAATTCTTCTGGTCCCAACATTCTGGAAAAACAGGTAATTTTTTTTTTTTAAAAAACTTACAATTCTAATTCATATAAGACTCGTTGACAAAGGTTGTTGAAAGATTGTTCCTAAAAAACACAACTTTTATCGTCTTCAGGATCAAAGCAATTGTTTGGCCCACCATCCCTAACCATCAAAAAACTCTGGATAAATTCTGCAACAAACTAAGAAAGGTTAGTACTTTTACTTCAGGAAAAAGTAGCCTTGCAGGCCTTCAACATAAAATGAAATACAGGTAGGGGGGCTACCTGTACATTTTTTTTTAACAAATTCATGTCTTGTCTTTACAACTTTGGAAATGTATTGAACTAATTCCCTGATAAATATCTTCTTATCTATATAGAACTCAGACACCAGTTTCTTTAATCCTGAGAGTTTGGGATATGCTCACATCCATAAGGTGGACAGCATTCAGGCTAAATCAGAAGTTGCCCACCTTCACCCACCAACATACAACCTGGAGGCAGAAGTTGAGAATTTGGTGGAACAAAAAGGCAACTTGAACCATATTCATCATGAATGGTTGAAGCTACCTCTGGCATATGAAGGAATGTTGTCCACGGAGACGAAGAACAAGCTGTACAGTGGAAGTGAGAACACCTCTGCTGATGGTTCAGTCCGCAGCATCAATCTATACAATGGGGGTAGAATTGTTGACCAACATGGCTGGAACAACAATGATCTGTGTAAATATTCCAGTGTCTCAATGGATCACATTTTCCCTGAATTAAAGACACGGTCTTGTGACCACACTTATTCCAATGGGGAAATCAGGGTATTAAATAAAGAAGAAACCTATGTCACAATGGCAAGTTTTTTTGAAAATAAGGGAAAATTATGAAATTAATACATACAAGCATACCGTTACCAAGAGGCATTTCTAGGTGTTACATAGGGCTGTAACATCTGTTACATTACTTTTCCTTCTTCCAATGCTGATTTTCAGCATCGATTTGCAGATTTAAAAAAAAACACTGTATAAAGTTTTCCTTTAAAATGAAATTCTCTTGCAGTCAAAAAAAGCAGAAGTTTTCTTCCTACTTGGCTTTCCATTGCAGGTGTATTTATCCCCTCACTCAAAATTGCTTCAGAGCATTTAAGGACCAACCAGAAGTGTTTGGAAGTCAACAGTTTCTATTCCTGCACCTTTGGGAATTTTCTAAGTTTAATGCTGTTTAGGAGGCTTCCATGACATTGAGAAAATAAAAACTCTGGTTTAAAGCCAAAATATGTTCATTGAAACATACAGGTGGTTTTTGTTTATCGGCTGCCTCATTTAGTGACTATTTGCAGTTATGACAGTGACAAAACTGTAACTTTATAACCAATCCTCACACTTATGACTTTCACGGGTCTGTAAAGAAAGGAAAGCAGAACTAAGATCAAAAGCACAGTCACAGGTTTATTTAGCGACCTCTTCGCTTAATGACTGAATTGCCAGTCCAAATGTAGTTGCCAAATGAGGACTACTTGCATATTATTATGCAAATTTTGTATAAATTTATCTCTATGACATGAAATCCAGAGAAATGCTAAATATCACGTATCACAATTTTAGCATTATTTTGTGAACCCTACGGTGTTTTTTCAAAAGGTAACTGGACTTTCTTTGTTTTTGCTTGAAGATGTTTCATTTCTCATCTAGGAAGCTTCTTCAGAACAGAACTGAAGAAGCTTCTTGGATGAGAAGTGAAACATCTTCAAGCAAAAATAAGAAAGTCCAGTTCCCTTTTGAAAAAACACCTTTGGGACAACCATGGCCTGGATGACTGAAAATCTCCACAGACATTATTTTGTGAAGTCACTTAAGATTCAGAATAAAATCCTCAGGAATTAATTTTCTATCTACTGCAATATTTATTTGGGTCCAAGAACCCAGGTCTGAATGACTGGATAGGAATTATGATGGTGCAGATATTGGAGAATTTCCACATCTTCCTTATTATGACTCAGTAGTAGCCTGCAATGCTGGAGCACTTGAACTTTTGGTTTGTCATCTGATTCCTGTTTAATGAAAAATAAATCCTGCTGAATTGAAGCAAAGCCCAGCAATTTAGCATCTTGTTTTCCAGGGTAACTAACAAGAAGCTCTTAACATTCAGAAAAAGGACAATAATGTAGCCCATCCTCTTTGCTGCTCCCTAATATTTTCCAAGAAGTTCTGTATTGTTATTAAGATTGGTAGATTTCTTCTGTCTTAATCTGAGAACTTTCCTCCTAGGGCAACTTCATGTCTTGGTCCACACAGTGCCTTGTGGCTATGAATAATATAAACTATATGTTATGTGAAGTAATACTTTATTTTACCCGTAATAATAATTTCATAAAAATTAGTCCACCAGTATTGTCTACAGTATATTTCTAGCTATAGTGATCAGTTCATTGGGTATTGCCATAATATCAGTTAAAACTTGAATTCCACTATAAATCACTGCTGCTTTTAATTTAGCTTTCTCCAAGAAATATTCAAGGGATGCTAAAACAATTTAAAAATTATTGTTATCCTTATATGTTCTATATTCTGTCAATAGATGTGTAATCTTGCCATGCATTTATCACGTTATTTGCTGCTATGTTTCATTTTTATAAGGTTTCATATGGTTAATTTTTATTTTGATGGAATTATGGTTATGATGTCTGTATAAATAAAATAAATGTCTTTGAATTGGATGCTGAAGTGGCAATTAAATAAAGTCATTAAGAAACAGTTAATATTAGTGAATAGATTTAATTTTAATCCATGAGCATTATTTATGAATATCATCTACCGCTTTCCTCCATCTGCCTTGCCTACACAAAAATCATTGTAGCCAAATATTTATTGCCAACAGTATTGTGGACTAGGGCAGTGGTGGCGAACCTATGGCACGGGTGCCAGAGGCGGTACTCAGAGCCCTCTCTGTGGGCACGCGCGCCGTCGCCCCAGTCCTAGGCCTTCAGTTGGGTTTTATAAAACCTTTTCGCTTTAGGCCTCCACCGCCGTGTGCAAAAAAAAAAAAAAAGGTTCAATCAATCAGTCAATTTCAACTTCTCGCGGGGGAAAAAAAGATCTTGCAAAGTTGGAATTGATTGATTGAACTTTTTAGTCCCACCCAGTCTGCCGTTACCACCACAGCCACGCCCACCCAATGGGCCACATCCACCCAATTGGCCACACCCAGCCAATGGGCCACACCCACCCGGCACCCGACGATGCATGTGGGTTTTGGGTTGCAGTTTGGACACTCGGTCTCTAAAAGGTTCGCCATCACTGGACTAGGGTGTAAACAATAATTAAAATCTATCCATCTTGTCCTAACTAGTTACAAAACTTCGAATAAAGAAAAAAAATGTTGTAGAGTGTGGATTCCCTTAGCCATCTTTTGTGCACAGGTAATCCTCAGCTTGCAACCATTTGTTCAGTGACCATATGAAGTTACAATGATATTGAAAAAAATGACTTATGACTGGTCCTCACACTTATGACCATTGCAGCATCCCCATGGTCACTTGATCAAAATTTGGGCACTTGACAGCTAGCGTGTATTTACAATGGTTGCACTGCCTGAGATCATGTCAGCACCATTTGTGATCTTACCAGCCGGCTTTCAACAAGCAAAGTCACTGGGGGAAGCCAAATTGAGTAGCAACTGCATGGTTCACTTAACAACTGCAGCAATTCACTTAATAACCATGGTGACGAGGTCCTAAAATTGGGCATGACTCACTTGATAGCTGCCTTGCTTAGCCATGGAAATTCTGGTCCCAATTGTGATCCTAAGTCAAGGACCAGCTCTATAACCCTCTACTGAGAATTGAACTCATGAACCATTACACTTTAGATCAGGGGTGTCAAACTGCTGGCCCGCCCCACTGCCGGCAATGGAAAAAAAGTCACGATACGGTTCAACACTTCACGTGACGTTACGAGTTTGACACCTCTGCTTTAGATCAGACATGTCAAACTCGTGACGTCATGTGACGTCGCACAACATATCGGAGCTTTTTCGCCATTGCCGGCAATGGCAAAACAGTCCCGATACGTTGCACGACGTCATGTGATGTCGCGAGTTTGACATGTCTGACTTAAGCTCTCACAGAGAGATATATTTCCATTGCATTGTGTATTCACTTACTTATAACAACTTGCAAATGAATAGTGGATTGTATCCAATGATACTCATTTGTCTTTGCAAAAGGGGCAGTGTTGAACTGATTTAACTACAGTATCCCCCTCGGGGCTATGCAGTGCATTATGCCATGCAAAGAATTTTTTGAGATTTAAATGGATTGGAAGGACTAGCAAAAAATTGTTCAGCGATGTTCAAAAATATGGCACAGTAATGAGGCCACTATGTAGACACAATTCACAATTCCTGGTTCTGTGTTTCCTGAACTTCTTCCAACAAATAAACAAATCCTCCTTTCTTCCCACAACACCTCTTACATGTTGTTCCCTCAACTTCTACCAAAATCTTTTGGGGAGGAACAGAAAATAAGATAAACATGGTTGGAGCACGTAGGCTAGTAGTCTTCTGATAGAGAAACAAAGATTCTAACTGAATGTTATAAATAACTTCCTAACATGACAATTATCTAAGTATTTCATGAGATACATTCAAGTTCAGGTTGGGAGGTCCTCTGGTGGAGATGTTTTGATGCCTGGAAGAACGTTGTCCATGGGGTCACGATGGGTCGGACACTACTTTGCAACTAACAACAACAACCAGAAGAGCAAGATGGCTTAAGTAGCCTTTTCAATGCTAGGCTTGTAGCTGGAGAAAGGTTTAAAACAACTCTGATCCCACCACCACTTGTTCTTGGGAATGTTACTAAACTATTTACCATGTTACAGTATTTGCACTAAGAAATCTTGCTTGCTGAAAAATCAATTCTTCCCTGACATTGGTAGAGCTAAAACAAGGGACACAATGATCGCAGTAACAATAAAATATTTTAATTTCTTTTGGTAAAAGCTGCCAATGTCATTCCATATAGTATAACCACTGTCCTATATATTGGATGAAGTTGATATTTAGAACAAAAGCACAAGAATAACAGAGTCATTTTAGGATCTCAGATTTTCCAAGCATTTTTCATCATCACAATGAAATAGACATCGGTATCTATTGAAGCACTGACACCAGCATAATAGTTCATGAATTCCTCTGTTGTGACCTACAACAGAAAGGTTTGAAAAATAAAAATAAAGTCTTTATTTAAATAAGTGTGTAAACTATTATGTGCAAGAATTAAATTATACATTCTGTTCTACGGGGAGATTTTCATTCATATATATTTACTTTTCACTCCTGTGAGTGGTACGTGTCTTCCTCAATGTCAGGGCCTCTGTCAGAAACCTGGGAGTTTGAGAGTTCTGCACAGTATCTTAGCTGCTCTTAGCACTGCACTTTTCTGGACAGAGAGATCCAAAGTTGTTCCTGGGGTCTGTTGGAGCCAATTTCCCAGTTTAGGAGTAACAACCCCAAATGCTCCCACCGCCATTGGGAGCCTTTATTTTCCATATCCTCTCCAATTTCTCCTTCAGACCCTGATACTTCTCCAGTTCCTCAAACTCCTTCCTGATGTTGCTATTGTTTGGCATGCTACATCTATTACCACCATATTCTTCTGGTCCTTTACTACTACAATGTCTGGTTGATTGGCTAGTACCTGCCTGTCTGTCTGGATCTGGAAATCTCATCGGACCTTGATCTTAAAACCTGCCTAGGATTGCCAATGTACAAACTGCACAAGAAGCATGAGGAACAATCCCATTGAAAGAAACAAGTGAAACATGTGTTACTGGAGTGCAAGTTCCACAGAAATCTGCCACATTAGATCTGACCGCATAATATACGAGCCCTCCCAACCCTCGCCCTCACATTTTTCCTATTAAAACCACAGAGTTTGGATTTAATTTCACATTTCTAGAACAAAATTAAGCATTGTTAGAGATACAGAAACACAATTTGCATAATCTCAGTGAAATCTAATATATATTCCATTTTCCTATAGGAGTAAGTTGCATTCTAGGGCTTTGGGGAATGGAAAGAGAGTATCAATATAGAGTGCACAGTGCCTCCTTTCTATGTCCAGTGGCTGCCCAAGAGGGGGACAAAGAAGAAGATCTCTGTTGATAATTTCAGTAAGTCCCTCCAAAAAAACAACAGAGCCTGTGGCATGTCTGACATGATTGACTTAGCTTTGGTTTGCTTTTAATCTCCTTCTCACTTACCTGTCCATCTTTATCATAAGGTGAATCAAAGTTGTCCAGGAAAGTCCTAAAAACTTGATCTTCACTCCATTCTCCATTTTGGTACTTGGGATGATGTTTTACATTGTAGACTCCTTGCAGATCTTCAATAGTGATGACTCCGTCCCCTGTCTTATCTAGCTTTCGAAAAGCTTGCATGATGACTTCTTTCCTTGCATTGGACATAGGAGGCTAAGAAAAAGCACAAAGCAATATCATTTTAAGGCCACTTTCTTCCCAGCCTTATCCTATTACAGTACTTTCTGTTTCATAATGTCAAAAGTGGGTTTGGAGGATTGTGCTTCCTCTACTATTTTCAGAACATTAAACAAAAGATGTGAACATCGATTCTAGAAAGAAAGAAAGAAAGAAAGAAAGAAAGAAAGAAAGAAAGAAAGAAAGAAAGAAAGAAAGAAAGGATCAGTGCAGAACAGTAGATGCAATTTAGAAAAATATGACGTAATTAAATTAAAGCAGAGGAACCTATGTGTAGATCATTATTCATTTCTGGGCTAATTTCATACTTTCCAAAATGATGCTTTGGGGCAGCTGGATAACTCCAGTTGTTTACTATGGTATGCACCATATTATTTGTAAGCCAAAGTGGAGGAAATACATCAAATGAAGCTATACACCGGTCACTGATCACCTGTGAGCTAGTGTTGTATTGCATACTCCGATGCATTTGGCTATCAAACTTTCTCCAGACGTTTGCTATCATTTCATTTGTTTTTGAAAAGAGCATCTAGCTCAGGGGTAGTCAACCTTGGTTCTTTTATGACTCGAGGACTTCAACTCCCAGAATTCCTGAGCCAGCATGCTGGCTCAGGAATTCTGGGAGTTGAAGTCCACGAGTCATAAAAGAGCCAAGGTTGACTACCCCTGATCTAGCTTATACTCCACAGCTATCCGCTGGCTGCTCCTTAGGATTTGGCTACTCATGCTCACTTCCCTTCTGAGAACAGTGATTTTGAGTTGGTGCTGGGGAGGAAGCACTGCTGGCCTCTGAATAATATTTGTGTGCCATTCACTTTAAGACTGAGGGCTGAAAGAAGATGGAAAGCCGAATGGATAGAGATGTGGGGAGATATAAGAAGAGCATGTGCAGAATTGCAGAGGGGCTATAACAGGACTTATAAATTTAAACTAATTTATATGGCTGTCCATCTCACAGACACAACTTAGGCAGCAAACTGGGATTTCAAAAAAGATAATACAGCTTATAAGCAATAATATATAATATTTCATCCAGTGCCTCAATCTAGTGTGGCTTATGGAATTGAAAGCCACACAGTGTACTGTTTGATGTTAAGGGATCTAAATGTCTTGTCTCTAACTTCATATAATCAGGTACCTGATAGAAGCCTGGTATCTAAGTTTCTCTACACTATTGCAACCCATATGAGAGGCATATCAACCAGTGAATTAAAATCTTATTTAAGCACTATTTCCTATCCATACTTTTTTATTCCATTGATTGATTTCTTTTAAGCTGCTGTATATACGTTAATTCCGCTGAGTGTATATTTGTCCTTCCTTTTCTTAGAAGAAACTTTTTTTAGCTGATAGGAAATGTGGGTGGAAACGGGTTCACAACAGTGCTGATCTCCAATCAATGAGCATTGCACGAGGTAAATGCCTGGATCAGATGTGCCCCAACTTCACTCTGCATGACCTTGACTCAAATATGGAGAGCTCATTTCCACTGTAATTAGCATTTCTTGGTAGACTTCAGCCAGTGTGACACACTAAGACTTCTGTACCCAGAAAGAGTGTCAGCGCTCAACACTGACGTTGAAATGCTCCAGTTAGGGCATTGCCAGCAGCATCTATCAGGGATTTCCCCAAATTATTTCTCCATACCAATAAACAAGTTTGTCTAGTAAATGCATTCATTTTGTTAGCTTTATCAGATAGATGAGACAGGAAACGCAACCATGAGCTAATTGCAAGTCTGAAAATATATATGTTTTTCTATTATCTCCTGTACAGGGAGAACGAGGGAGAGTCCCTTCTGAGTTTTTTGCCCTGCCCACTATCCAGCTGCAGGCTATGCTGCCTCTTATCTGACCATCTCCTGTTCAGCATCTCTTCACCTGATCTCCTAAGGCAGGGGTCCCCGGCCCCCGGTCCGTGGACCAGTATAGGGCCGCAGCATGCCAGCAACCAGTCCACACAAACAAGCAAAGCCCCATCTATGGGATGCAGGCAGCACACAAAACCACGCACTCTCCTTTCTCCACAGAACCGATCCCTGGGGCCCAAAAGGTTGGGGACCTCTGACCTAAGGTCTTTCCCCCATACCATTATAGATTTGGACATAACATAGCATGTTGATGCAATAATGTTTGTTGTTCTTGCTTAAAACTTACTCTTAATGTTAGGAGAAATTCATCAAAGTCAATTGTTCCATTCCCATCTTTATCAAATATTTTGAAAATCTTTTCGGCTTCCTCTTTCTCGATCAACACAGCATAATCATGGAGCCCTTTCACGAACTCTTTGAAATCAAGGGTCCTGCTATTGTTGTCATCCATGATGCGGAAAACCCTGAAGAAAAGAAGTTTGACTGTAAAGAAAAGAGTTACAAGGATCAAAGAGGACGAGAAATGGGACAATGATATACAGATCTAGGAAAGACGCATTTAAAGAAAACAAGAGCCTTGCTTCTGAGATACAGTCTATCAAGACATTCAGCTGCATAGCAGCTCCTTATCTGATGTCCTTTCCAAATTTCACAATGGAAGTTCACAGTTTCAGAGGTTAACTATTGTACAGTTTGAATGTTTGTTATTTATTTCTATAGCAAATATGAGCAACTCTTACATAACCAAACCGCATCTTTACCTGACATAAGATTGATGTTTATACTCTTAATCAAAAAGGACGTATGTGCAGATATAGTAAACCTGGGTCAACCTACACATCCTTATTTTTAATTTCCACATGCCCTTGGTTTGAACTACTTTTCACTACTATTGCTGAGGAGCTAATTGCAGTCTTTCTGGACAGAGATTGCTTGAGCAAATTATCTTTGAAATGGTAACATCTGATTTAGCTCACTACTAGATGCGTCCATGAGAACATAAGCGGTGCCCTGCTAGATTAGACTTCTAGCCCATTTAGTCTAGCAGCCTGTTCTCACAGTGACTTTCAGGTCCAAGCCCATGGAAGATGCATTGAATTCCAATTGAGTACAATCCTTTATTTGCTTATACCTAATGGACAGAATCTTGCCAAACTAAAGCTATAATCCTCCACCCTAATGGATGTATCCTGAGAGATTCTAAGCTGAGGCAACCCTGAACCTCTCCTCTCCCCACCCCCCACATGTAGCTTGGACTGCACAGTCTCTTAATTTGGGCTTTTCTCTGGAATGGGCTTTTCTCCCTAGGAAATCTCTGTGCTACCAAGACTCTCCTCCACTGCTTCTCCAGGTACATCACATTCCATCACAATGGCCAACCAATGGCTCAAGGAAGTGCACAAGTGTTCCAGAAAATGGTCTTCAGAAGCAGTCACCTTGCCAGCAAGGAGTCCCATGACTTCCATGAATTGGTCCAATGTTTATTTGAAGCCAGCTAAGCTGGTAGCCAGCACCTCATCTCAGAGTAAAATGCAGTTGATGCAAAATGCAACAATTGCTAACTGAGAAGGGTCATATGTGCCATGGTGGCACCATGGTTAGATTGCAGTGTTGCAGGCTAACTCTGTTCACATTGCCAGGAGTTCGATGCCTTCCATCTTAACCGGCTCAAGGTTGACTTAACCTTTCATCCTTCCAAGGTTGGTAAAATGAGGACCCAGATTGTTGGGGACAATATGCTGACTCTGTAAAACGCTTAGAGAGGGCTGTGAAGCACTGTAAAGTGGTATATAAGTCCTGTTGCCAGAGCTGCAAATGCTGAAGCAATAGTGTCCACATTTCTCTGTTCAGTATGTGGCAGAACATTCCGTGCTAACATCGATCTCATCAGCCATCTACAGACACACCGCTGATGGCCCATAATCCATAAGATGTCAAGGTCTTCATCAAAATAGATGGATGAACAACATATGGAACAAGTTGTGCTTTTTACAAGAGGCACTTTGTTTTTCTTTGAAGAAGCTCCTTGGATGAGAAGTGAAATGACTTCAAGGAAAAACAAAGTCTAGTCACCACTTGAAAAAGCACCTTTGGGTTAAATAGAGTTCAATGTACAATCAGCACAAATTATTCTCAGAACTCTGTCATTCTGAAACTTTTTCAGCGTTTCCAGATTAAAAATCATATCATGCAATTAACCTTCTTTGACCACAGAATTTTTCCCAAGTGATCTAGAGTAGATGTCCCCAAGTCCCATGCCACAGCCCACTACCGGGCTGCAGCCTGTTTGGAACGGGGCTGTGCAGATGGCAGGCGAGCATGTGTGTGCCTGCAAAGCTCCCCTCGCACGAGCAGTGGCTACTTACACTTGCACGTGCCTACTACTCACAAGGAACTATCCCCTCTCTCCCCCCTCCCAACGGGCCACCAAGCCAGAAAAGTGGGGGACCACTGGTCTAGAGATATAATTGCATGGTGATATATCTGGATAATCCCTAGATGGCAGCAACACTGTCATCTTGTATTCAGCTGGAATTTTCTATTCAGATATAATGAGTAGTAGCACTAGAATCCTTCCTTCCTTCCTTCCTTCCTTCCTTCCTTCCTTCCTTCCTTCCTTCCTTCCTTCCTTCCTACCTACCTACCTACCTACCTACCTCATCTCACCTCACCTCACCTCCTTTGGTTAAGTCAAATTCCTTCCTTCCTTCCTTCCTTCCTTCCTTCCTTCCTTCCTTCCTTCCTTCCTT